TTGATTCCTACTTTATTATTTTATGCATTTTTCACGCATAAAACGTGTACCTGCTTTATATATGCCACCCTCCTACTTTGGGGGCTTGGAAATTTTGGAAAAAAAAGGTGGCTTATTCATGGGGAAATACGGTACATAAACATGGATTAACATTGCAGGAAGAAACACTGTTTATTTACATAAGGAAATGGCTGCGACCACATCCCCTTCCTTTACATGCATCAACTGGGCCGATATGAAAGCATGTGTGGTAGGCAAAAGTGATCGAAAAAATCACGGAATTGGTTTGTTTGGTACGCTTTTAAGCAAACCAACAAAATTACACGTAAGGTAGTATTATACACCAATTTACGTGTATCCAATTATGCGGTTGTTTGCTTACAAATTATATTTCTAGTAAATAGTGCGTTTGTTTTTAGGGAGATTTAAACCAATTCGCAATACACAATACCACATATCTAACCATGGGTCAACATTGCAGCATCAAACACTGTTCATTTACATAAGAAAACGGCTGCGACCACATCCCTTTCCTTTACATGCATCAACTCGGCCGATATGAAAGCATGTGGGGTAGGTAAAAGTGATCGAAAAAACCACAGAATGCCGAGTTAAGGTCGCATAATTCGGTGTAGTAAGTGAGTGTGATTGTAGCCGACCCTCTTTTCTTGGTTTTGTGTATTTAGTGCGTAATCTCGCAAAGAATGGCTGCTTGATCTGACGGTGTTTACCACATGACTGACGAAAGTTGAGCACCGGTTCATCGGGGTCGCATTGCGTTGGGTCGAGGACGCTATTACACAAGTCAATGTTAGAAAAGAAAATCGGTTTCTAGTGCGGCCTGACAGCCAAATTCTCCTTCAAAGTGAAAAATCTAGTTTGATTAAGCAAGGGATTTTTATCACTTCTAAGCTAATAAGGAGTATAAATAGTCTAATACTCTCTGGGTTTTAGATTGTAGTATTCAGAGAGATTATGTACCACTTTTTAAAAGGGTATAGATTACAAAATGTGGTCATCAGAACGTCTTAAAACTTTTACAATAATATCAAGTATGTCCATAGCAAATTGCATTTTGTAGTTTGACAAGTGTTGATTTGTTATGAAATAATTGCTACTCCAAATGAGCTGTTGTTTTGAAGAGTTTAACGCTACAGTTGATCCGTGGTGAGGATTTCTTGTTGGCATTCCTTCTGGCCCCGGGAATGACGGTTGCTATGTTGACATCGTTAGCGATCACATTGCAAAAACGATGCTCGGGGCCGTGGAGGTGAGCAGAATGATTTTGCGAATGGCGATTTATGCGGAATCTGTATGTCTGGGCAGAGATTGAAAATACTGCTTTCTAGTTACCCTCTATTACACGGAATTGCAGGAAATGTATGTTTATTCTTTCGCCGTTATCGTTCGAGACGTAAATGCTGATGCTGTTGGGGCTTGTGATTGGCTCGGCCTCTTTGCCTCTCGTTCTAAGGGTAAAGTAGTGACTTTGTGACATGTGTGAATGCTAATCCTTGAAGAAGTACTTTTTGGCTTTATCAGGCAAGGTGAAAACATAAAAAAAAGTTTACCGAAATGAAATAGATGGAAATATTAAAAATCTTAACTGTATCTGAGTTTCCGTCATTTAAGTAATTTTCTTTTTCCAGAAACAGAAAGCCCTCTCCGATCTGTGAAAGTAAAAAAAACGGATGGGAAAAGAGGTTATAACTATTGAAAGTCTGATTAGCCTCATGTGTACGAATATAGACGTGCGGCATTCTTAAACCATAATGCCTTGATAAGTAACAGCAAGCAAAACAGCAATTATGCAAACGAGAATTCCAAATTGTACAGCTTGACATTTCACTCTGCTTGGAAGTCTTTAAAAGACTGCCTTCGGAAGGTCCGATCAGCTGCCTGTGGCTAGCAGCATTTGATGGTTTCGCTCGAGAGGGCAAAAGCTGCGGAATGAAGGGAGGAAGCGCAGCGGATCCATATTGAGATCAAACATTTGATCCACATGTATCTGGGTGTGTAATCATGCATGATCGGTTATTGCGGAGTTAGAATAAGCCACAATTATGATACCATTAGCATAATCATGATCTCACTGTGTGTTCTGACAGAATTTCAACTTGTTGGCAAATAGTATATTTGGACATCAAATACGTTTGTTGGTTAAGTATAAATTAATAATTAACCATTCATCTATTTGTTGTACTCGATTACTTAAAATATAAATGCTGTTACCTAGCTAAGAAATTTTAAATATTAATTAACTTTAAAAATGTTAATTTATGCATTATAGTTAATTAACAATACATACTAAGTAATTAATTTGAATTAATTATTTTATTAGCGTTGATTAATGAATTATTTCTACTTACTTACTTAAAAGTTAATAAGCAATTACAATTAGAACTGTCATAAGCATAATAATTGAAAACGGCCATATTTTACCCTTACCGTAAATATATACGTGCACATGACGGTGGGGTCCTCAGAATGAATTACTGCTGGGCACCAGTTATTAAATGTTACTCATTGTTTATTTTTGTCTAGTAATTAATTTAATTTCCTGTGAGATATATGCATTTTGGCACTTTTCAGGGATAGGCTAAAGAGTATAGTATGACAATGTCTAAGACAGATAATAAAGCTGGCTATCTGTCTGTAGCCAAATCACATCCAACCAAACTGTAGTCTTGAAAGACCAAGCACTTTTTATGTAATCCCACAAATAAATGGAGAAAAGTTGATAGCCGGAAATCGGGTGGAATAGCATGAATGTCTATTTTGTTGCTTACGTTGAGGTCTGGCAAAATATTTAATCATCCAAAAGCATGACAGCTAGAAGCTATTCTCTTTTTGGCTATAAATTACAAAAATAACTAAACTGTATCATTTTTACTGATTGATAATGCCTCGATTATACTTGGAAAAACTTTTGCTTCGCAATAAAGAAGCATCATAAAATTTAATTATGTAAATTCTCTACACAACTGCACGATAACTTGTAACGCTTAGGAAGACAAAGTAGCCCAACCAATCATTTATCCAGCCAGCCAGGGCCGGATTATCTTGTTAATGCTAGAATAAGATTAATTAGCTTATTAATGTTTCTTATAATAACGAAGAAAAATCTACTTTTCTGGGCTAGATAAACTGCATAATGCTTGAGAAAAGCTGGATTTTGTTAGGCTGATTACATCAAATGTCTCCTCCTCTTGGGCCCTTGATAATTGCTGTTTGTTTTTGACAGATTCAGGTAGATTGGTCTCGGAGAAGGACACCTGATGGGAAATGAATGAGAAATGCAACTCTATCATTGGTACCAAAAAGTGCATTCGACTTGATGAAGTGCCTCAGTTCAGCCTCACATCTCTTCGTCTTCTCAGCGCCTCTGGTCCGATTCACCGCTGACCTTTCACTTTCCAGATCAGATCAGATCAGATCAGACAATATGTCAGAGCATCGAAGGCTTGACATGGCAACAGTCGATGTCGTCATCACGACAAATTCTCGGTTGGTCTGACCTCATTTTAACGATACATCCGTGTTTATAGGACCGCCAGATTGGCGAGGTTGTCCGAATTGGCCGGCAGTGCACTGTTGGCATGCATTTTTATAGCCTCGTACACATGAACGAACACACTAACAGCACTCTCGTTGGCCGCACAGTCGGCACACTCGACGACCAAGGCCAGACACGGCAGTAGATCCCAACCGATCAAAGCGACATGTGAGACGTCTGGGAATGTAACCTGCCGAGAGTCCGATGCTGTAAGCCCAAATGACTGCAATAAACCAGGGCGCAGTGACGCGGCTTCCTTGAATGTTAACTGAACTGTAAAACTGAGCTCATGCCAACTTGGAAAAACGACAAGAGGCGTCGACTAAACATATTGCCACACCAGTTGCATTTATTCAATCAATCCTTAATACGCATGCAATTATACTTATTTCTCTCTTCAACTTGCTAGACAAATGCAGATGTGATATCACATTCCACCTGATTTTTCGGACTAGTAAACAGAGTTTAGGATAAAAGAGTTTATTGCCATGACACATTAGGACAATTGGATTTGGATCAGTCCTTATTGTATCAACCAGCTGAAGCATTTGGCCAAATGAACTCACATGGATGCTACAGATGCCATTTTTAATCAGGAAAGTTAAGAATGCAATATCATCGGGGCCTTCAGTGATCACTTTGCTGCAATGAAATATGCACAAGTTATGCATGCAGCTATGACCTTGTGATGAATTATTATGAATTAGTAACTAAAAATATTCCTGTTCACTGCCAAAATCTGTAGCTTAGAAAGTTGGTGATTAGCTCATCATAGAACTAGTGGTGATATCGCATACAATTCCAGACGCCTCCCGATTGGGAGGGGAAATAGCTTGGCCTTGAAAATGCCACATTTTTTAAATTAATAGTGACATTTTATCACATGTAAACATATAAATACTAGGAATATAACGGAGCCATTTCGAAAACTTTTATTTAAGGCCATTTTTATGCTCTTTTATCTTTTGACATTCTATGAGGCACTCAGAAAACAAATATCTAAAATAAAAATACGGACAAACTGTAAATTTAATTAGGTCCTAATGATAAAGTATTATTTGTTGTTAATTATACATATTCACAACCCACATATGTGTCTGATAAAATTGGTGACTGGCCGACCTCAAAACAGGTCGAAAGTGGTGATATTACACAGAAATACAAATGTCTCAAGATTGAAAAAGCTATTAATTTTAGCAATAACGTGAGTGCTCAATTGTTGCTTAAAATTCAAGGTAATAGCATACATTCTATTTCACATCTTTAGCGACTTCGTTCTTTCATTTCTGCATATACAGAACAGG